CATCTCTCTCTCTCTCTCTCTCTCTCTCTCTCTCTAACTCCATCTCATAGATGTATACCTTTTGTTCACCCCTCTATCACAGATGTATAATGGGTGGTTGGCGGGTCCTCTAATCTTCGGTACTTATATGACCTTATTGTGTTGCAAGTGCCGTAAAACTCTTACTAAAATTAAAACCACAGATTTATACCTTGTGTTCAGCCCTCTACCACAGATGTATACCTTGTGTCCTCCAAAATATTACAGATTTATACCGTGTTTCCACCTATTTTTCACAGGTTTGGAACGCAAGCTTCGCGTGATCAACGCAGCAACGACACGCTACACACTACTGCCAGCATACACAGCCGCAGTCAAAATAGTGGGTTTTACTTTTATAGTGCGGTCAAAAGTTCGTGGTACAACTTATCCTCAAATAGCTTTTTAACATGTTAATTTTTGTCACCTATAGTTTGTATCAATTTATGTTAACTTAATCATAATTTTCCACAACAACTTAATCATATTGTTTTGGGATCCTGACTCTTTCTACAGCCTTTCTACTGCTACTCCTTGGTTGCTTCTAACTGCTGTCTTTCATCCACACCCCTAATCTTAAGATAGATAAGATCTAAAACCTAGCTTTCTTGGAAAAGGGTGAATTTGATTGTTAAAAGGAAAAAGGCGGGTGGTTGGCGGGTGCTCTGGTGTTGTTTGCTCCTTCTTTTCTATCAAACATATATTGTCCTTATCTCTCCTCCTTCTTTTTTGTGTTTGTTACTCCCTTGTAACACTTTTAATCTTCGGCACTTATATGACCTTTTTGTGTTGCAAGTGCCGTATGTAAAATCCTTACCAAAAAACAAAGGAAAACGACAATTACATGATAGTGAATTTTAGATGTGGATTTTAATGTAGATGTTCATGTGCAACATTTCTCTACGAGTGACACATTGGGGAAGAGGGGGGGGGGAGAAGAAAGATTAGGCCTATATTTTTCAACCCCGATTTACAATTTATCTAATTTTCTGATGAAAAAAAAGCAACCCCCCCCAAAAAAAGCCCCAAACAAAACTAATAAAAAGCACCAAAGAAATTGGTCGCTTTTAGGCACAAGGGGGCTATCCCGAAAAATGCTGTTTTGAGAAAATCGAAAGTAAAGTTTTTGCCCCTTGTTCAGTTTCTTTAAAAAGACACGGAGATTTTTCTCTATAACCAAACCAATATTATACTCACCAATGAAACCAACGTTCCCCTATAGGTAGGGCAATGTCCACTTTGGGTGTAGGTCACGATTTCTGGAAACTCCCGAAATCTAGGTTAGCCCGCTTGTCCTTAAAAGTGACCAAATAT